CCCCCCCCCCCCCCACGGGAAAATACTCAAAAAAGGCCCTGACCCGGACCACAACGTAAGCAGCTTTATCGGTTTCGGTGAAGAGCAGGTGAGTTCGTAAAAAGCTCACCTGCTCGGAACGAATCAGAAAACCGCTTTTAACACAAGTATTGCATAATAAATAAAGTTTACATTACCTTGCACATATCATGGATAAGCATACACCTGTAATTCGCACATCGTCAACTTGTTAATAAATGACTGTATCACCAAGTATTGTCCATGTATCGGTGGGGAACATGAGAATGTCTTAGTCTGCCCTTGGGGTACAGCAAGATTAGTTTCTCCACATCGAGGATTTGATCGACCATGATCTTCCAAACTGTTGCCAATCTTTATTGCGAAATTGCCCAATCTATAGCCACAACAATCACCTGATAATGGAATCATACGATTTTGTTTCTTCAACTACTAAAATATACTCTTCTAAAAACAACCATCAAATATTTTTTCGGTGCAATGCTTCAATTTATTGTAGTGCAAGTTTATGTACTAGTTAAAACATGAGCAGCCTATCTTAATCTGATACACAAGATTGGATGCGAATGTTTCAACGTGCTTAAAAAGCGACCCATCTTATGAGTTCATTGGCGAAGTAATTTTAAAAATAAACATTGTCTAAGCCGAGAAAATCAAAGCTGAAGTTTATGTAAATCAGGACAAATCTTTAGCCGATTTACAAACATTGATTAAACATTCTGGTTATTGATTAAACATTCTGGAATATTGGTTATCATAGATTTCCCGTATGGTAAATTAGTAAAAACCACAATATTTAATATTTACCATTAATATTTACCATTTCCTGTGCAAAGGAAAATACCATTATGCTAAATATTAAACAACATGGTTTTTACCAATTTACCATATGGAAAATCTATAATACCAATGAAGTAAGAGTTCAGTTTTTACATTGATAGTATACATAGCAAATCTTTTAAAAAACCATTCCGAAAACCATTAATGAAATTTTTCCTGTGATATAGACTATGCAGTGGCGCCGCCAGCTCGATGATTGGGGGGGGGGGGCGAATATTCATATATTGGTGTTCTGCATTATTAATTTCTTTTGAAATCGATTGTTTTTATGGTCTGTGAACACGAATATATGAATATTTGCCCCCCCCCCAATTATCGAGCTGGCGGCGTCACTGAGACTATGCCTGTTGTTGTTCTATGATTTACCACCAACACTCTCCTGGCGAAGGTAAATATAATATTTAAATAGGTAATATTAACCTCTGTTTGTAATTACCACTCTGGCTACCTGAATCTCCTCTTGAAAGTCCACACGCCACCACTGTTTTTCAGAACTCTCCGCCTGAAAGCATCCACTAGCATCCCAGTCTGTGTTGGTATTTCCATCTACTGCACGTTGACTCAAGTGTGCATACGTAGACGATGACGATGTAGCGGGCTTATTTAATGCATAATTCAGGTTGGGATCTGTATTTATAGAAATATGGTCTTCATCATCAAGGTTTTTAGGCCGGATCCGTTGTATGCACAAAAGAGTTTAACTATACATCAGGGAGTCTGGGGTCTGTTACCCCCCTCCCTCCCTCTGATTCAAAATTATAGCCTTTTACATGCCTTTGATTTGAATGGACCGGACTGCAATGACATATGTGTATTCACGTTCTTGTTCATGGATTTTTATATCGCAAATTCAACACAAACAACTTCAATTTTACTGCACTTTCCATGACATGATTGAGTTTCAAAACTCATGATCAAGATTGTGCTAGCTAGCTAAACCTATTCAACAATGACTAATTGAAGTTCTTCTTGAAAAAAATGAAGGATAAATGCGGTTCAGAAAAGAGCAAACATTTTGAAGCGAAAAATTGCATTGCTGTTCCTTTTCAATTGTGGCTTGTTTCGGGTCCCAAACCCCCTATGTAACTCTCACTACTTTCTTGCCGTTGTTTTAAAATGTGAAGAGATCCACTACAGATTTATAATCCTATCATTTTATATATCACAGAAAGTAACCTGTGGCAAATCTCGTAGCACCGCCAGCTGCCGGCTTGTTTTGAAATCCCTGCATGGCTTACCGTAAATCCTTGTTTCGCAAGCTTTTCCTTCGTACTTTTCAAAACATTTACACGTCACATTTCTCCTGTCCGCAGTGTTAACCACGCATGTGCCGTGGAAGCATGGCGAGGGAGAGCAAGGGTCCTGGAAAAGCATATAACTGATATGAGAAACATATTAAAAACTAGAGGGCACTTGGAGACTGCATACCTCGGCCAGCCACAGTCTGTCAAGATATGATGGTCTGGAAGCCTTTGTTTGATGTTGAACTGCACCTGATCGTGCAAAAAATTATTTGTCTCAACTTCCTTAAATATTATTTATCGTGGTTGCACGTTTCATCTCAGCTATCCCTATTGGACGATTACTTTATTATATAAAAATACAATGAGCTCAATCACCGTGACCGTGCACAAATTAGCATAAACTCCGACAAAACGTAACACAATGACTTCTGTTTAGTTTCCAGATCTTCATATCTTGATAGCCATACGCCAGCAAATTAATTAAGTTATGTATCAGGCATAAATTACACAATGGGCTAAGCATTCAGTTTACTCTGCCCGGCGAAGCAAGACAAACTTTTGCTAATATTTAATCTAAATTTCATCTGTAGCCTATATCAAACTTCATCCAGTCCTAGGACTTGATTAAACTTCGTCCAGTCCTAGGACTTGATCAGAGTTCATCCAGTCCCAGGATTTGATCAAAGTTCATCCAGTCCTAGGACTTGATCAAACTTCATCCTGCCGAAACGATGAGTTAAATTTTACCTTGATGTATTGTTTACGTTGGTAAAATACCCAGTCGTTCTTGGCTTTTGCCTCGATGACGCCATCACGCTGTTGCTGGGCAACGGTTAATTGACAGTTTACTTCATTATCAATCGTGGACGATTTGTAGTTAAAGCCCGCACAAAATTGACCAGCGTAACCGTGGCAATGGAGAGCACAGAATAACCAGGATATGACTTTATGCTCTGACAAAATATTCTCGATCACTTTCTTACCTGCGGGAATAAGGTTTTTATAAGAATTTCTCAAAAACTCAATAATTCGTGAGCAAAACGGTAATGAACGTCCATAATGTTCTCTGTTTCTTGAGCACAAGAGTGAAACTAATAACTTCGACACAAAAGAAAATGCTACGGTTGAAGTAGTCAGGCAGATAGAAGGGAGGGAAAACTCACCATATCAAGGGGAATTCCATTTTTCTTTAGTCTTGTGCCCTGAAGGCTGGCAAGTACATTTCTGTATGTCGGCGGCGTTAAAATATCTTGTAGGCTCTTGGCCTTGCCGACATGTTTTTCTTCGAATTTTGTGTCAAACTTTATTACAGTTAAAGGGGGAGGGGGGCGTTAAAAATGTGAAATTTCAGATACATTTCTTATACAAATGACTTGCATCAATAGAAAGCTTACAAAAATTAGCTCGGTTTTTCAAGTGGTTTTCGAATTATTGCTGTCCGAAAGGTGAAAAATAAGCCAAAATCTCGCAAAAATCCTGGGTACTAGTTTGAAAACAGGCTTTCAACAGCTTATACATTCTCGTACCCAGAGCCCTTCTTACGCGCGGTGCGACGAGGGGCTCTGGCCAAATCCAAAACCGGATACCATAAATAACCTTCGTTGTAGCCAATCAGATGCCGGTTTGATATGGATTTGGCCAGAGCCCCTCGTCGCACCGCGCGTATGAAGGGCTCTGGGTACGAGAATGCAGCTCATAACGTACTCAAGAAGAACTTGAAAAACCCTGGTAACCGTTTAAATGGCTTATATGTAGTTTTTTGCAAGCTTTCGAATGATGTAAGTCATTTTTGTTAGAAATATGTCTGAAATTTCACAATTTTTAAATATAATAGACTTATTGTCGATTTCAAGTCACTTTTCAACGCGCGGTTCCCAAGTTCGTTGCGAACTTGCCAATTACGTTTTCAAGTTCGGAAATTGGGCGCGAACTTCACAACAAAGTTCGAAAGTTCATTTCAATCAATGTTTGGACTTCGTTTGTAAACAAATGTTCACACTCAATAATAGTAACCAATTCAGTGAAATACAAACCTTTTTGGTAGCCCACTGGACCAAGAACTTTCCATTGAATTGTTGACTTCAACTTGAACTATGAACATTTGTTTACAAACACTGAAATGTACTTCCGAACTTTGTTGCGAAGTTCACGCCCAATTTTTGAACTTGGAAACCGGTAATTGGCAAGTTTGCAACGAACTTGGGACCCGTGCGTTGAAACGTGACTTGAAATCGACAATAATACAGAATTCGAAGAAAAACGTGTCGGCATGTTTTAACGCCGCCGACATACAGAAACGTACTTACTTGCCTTTTGGCATAGTTTTTGGGCACAATATGAAGGCAAAATGGAATTGTCACTCGATATGGTGAGTTTTCCATCGAATTTTTGTTCCTCTATTTGCCTGACTAGAGTGAAAAACAGCCATTAGAGTTTAGTTCCGTCGTTTTAGAAACGTCGAAGTTCTTGGTATATTTTTCTGTCTACATACTTATCAGCTTGATGAGCTCGACAAGCAATCTCGTTCCCCAAGCCTGCGATCCTCGGGAAGGAACGTGAGGCTCAGGGATAATCCGTTGCCGGAAGCCAGGAATCCTGGCTAAGATTGAACTACGCATTCCATTCCAACGGCCAATCAGATTCCTCCCTGCAACGGATTATCCCAGAGCCTCGCGTTCCTTCCCGAGGATCGCAGGCTCGGGGAACGAGATTGCTCGAGAAGCTGCAAAAACGAGCGCTTCGTATTAACACTACAGAAGAGAAGCTATTATACGTAAGATCTTTTTAACAAAATCGTATGATGATGCATATAAGTTGCATGCACTATTGCCTGAGAGATATTGAGGAAGAATTCCCAAAGAAACGCATGACTGTTTATAATAGTTCAGTGCGCAATTCTGATAGAGAAGCTCTTATACGTAAGATCTTTTTAAAAAAATCGTACAAGATTATTTGATGTATAAGTTGCATGCACTATTGCCTAAAAGATATTGAGGAAGAATTCCCGAAGAAACGCATGACTGTTTATAATAGTTCAGTGCGCAATACTGATAGAGAAGCTCTTATACGTAAGATCTTTTTTAAAAAATCGTACAAGATTATCTGATGCATAAGTTGCATGCACTATTGCCTAAAAGATATTGAGGAAGAATTCCCGAAGAAACGCATGACTGTTTATAATGGTTCAGTGCGCAATACTGATAGAGAAGCTCTTATACGTAAGATCTTTTTAAAAAAATCGTACAAGATTATTTGATGTATAAGTTGCATGCACTATTGCCTAAAAGATATTGAGGAAGAATTCCCGAAGAAACGCATGACTGTTTATAATAGTTCAGTGCGCAATACTGATAGAGAAGCTCTTATACGTAAGATCTTTTTAAAAAAATCGTACAAGATTATCTGATGCATAAGTTGCATGCACTATTGCCTGAAAGATCTATGTCGTACACACAAATTAAATGAGTTTGCACTTTGTATTCCTATAGCTACCTATACGGCTATACATGTACTTCGTCCTACACTAGAAGCGAATTATAGTCACTAAACATAAAAAAGGAAAATTTCTTCTTCAACTACCAACCGTTATGTGCTTTATGGAACCACACTTGGTCGGCATCGTCAGCTGCTTGCAATTCTTTGATCAGTAATAAAATGATTCCGAGCTTGAAAGCGTACGAAGCAAAACAGAAAGACATTTTGGCTTTTCACGTCGTTAAAGGACAGCAGAGCTGCATGTATTGTTAATTGTTGAAAGTCTTAGCGTGTTGCGTGTCAATTAAAAAAGATGATTAAAAAATCAATATTTGATTGAAATTCAGTAGAGCAAATGTAACTATACTGTTTTTATACTTAAAATGTTTTTTTTTTTCTCTACTCCGAGTTTCACGCCTTTGTGCGGTCATCAGAAGACATTATCCGCTTGATGATTGAAAATTTTTATGCCTCCTGATGATCGTAGTATGCGTGAAACTCGGAGTAGAGACAAAAAAATTTTAATTGAGAATATCAGTATTCAGTAATTATATATACAACACAAGTGTATAACTCCAACAATTTTTTCCAAAGATTTTTGTCCAAAGATTTTGTTTGATAAATATAAAGATGTTATCGATCTTTGGAGCTACACTTGTTTTGTATTTTGTTAAATAAAAATTTTAAGATAGCAGCCGGCTATCGCCACATTTTCATATTGCTGGCCGGTGACTTTTAAATTAGAATGTCATTAATCTTTACGATAAATTTATAGGTTTTTAATTAAAATCTTGAGATAAAATAATTTTTGTGTGTGATGCCATGGTCTAGCACTGACGAGTGATGAGAACTGCGGGAGTCGTATGGAGCACGTCACAACTACACTGTTTTCAACTTAGGCGGACCACCTTAAATGGAGTAGATTTCAAGTTTATTTCTCACGGGCTAGGGTGGTTGAGAAGCTAAACATCTTTCGTCAACACATGCATAAAAAAATTTTGGATTTTAACTATTAAATGTGGAAATAAGCTTAAACACGAAAACGAGGGTGAGGGGTCATGGCCCTCCGATGTTTAGTGAGGCGAGGGTGTTTCCCAAGGAAAGTGCAAGAGGGCTGAACACGAAGTTCGTGGTTAGGGAAGAGTTGATGTTCATGACAAACTGGGATAGTACATTCTCACATCTGCGACACAGGTTTAGCAATATACGAAATGATCTAATTGAAGACATTGCCGAATTGGAGCTGATCACGATTGAACCATTAATGGGTATCGTATTTGCATCCTTAAATACATAATATATACACACCATTTCCACCATAAAATTGGAAATTGTTATCTACCGGGTGTCCAAAAAAACCAGCTGGACATTGTTTGATTCATGTAACGTAAACGCTATACAAGCTATACGAGATCATTGCATTCAGAAAGGACTAGCTTATAAATTGATTTTGATATACAACACTTGAATTAATATACATGTGATATTGAGCGAGATACAACCAAATTAAAAATATTTATTATTTAACAAATTTGGCCGTTTTTATACTAGAGACGCATTATGCGTCTGGACGAACTTGGGCAAGCATTTGTTGTTTGTCTGGTCATGCGTCCTTAGTATGAAGACGGACACAAGACATCGTATGCGTCTAGACGAACTATGTTCGATTTCTTCGTCTTAAGAGACGCACACCCGGTATTTAAAATAATTTCAAACGATATATTGATACTGAATTTTAATTTTAAGTCTTTTTTTTTAAAGTTGACGAAACACTTATTGGCGAGAAATGCAATAAAACCACTCACTCCAGCAACGTCGCTAAAAGTGGTAACCATGTTAATAATTTTGAGCGCAAAAACACTAGCCAATGGCAACGCAAACGCTAGTTCACTACATGCATGCGAGAGATAGCATCCTACCAATCAAAACGCTGATACAATAAATTTCACATGTTAAAAATATCAACGCATCGTGATTTTCTATTTCACGCATCTACTACTGCGCGGAAATCTCTAAAGCTACTTATATAATTAATACTTGTTGTGTGTTTTAAAAACCAATGAAGATGGCGGCTCATGGAGTTGGTTCAGAAGTATTTTTCAGTGTTTCAGTTGTCAGACATGAAGCTAAATCTTCCTTCTTCCTGAAACGAAATATTAAAAAATGAGTATTGGTTATAGAGATGCCGGCGAATTATGGAACAATTTTAACAAATGCCCGAAGTCCCCCCCCCTGTGCCCCGACGAAATCACATGCCCCCCCCCCTCCCTTTTTCCTAAATTGATACAAACAAACCAGCGAAGAATAACAAATAATAGATAAATGGAAAGTAAGTTTTAGGCTTTGTTCTTGTTTAAATTGTTACGTTTTTCTACCACTAAGTATTGCCGACAAATTATTGTTAATAATTTTATGTGTATTTTCCCCTTCTTTTATTTCAAAAACAAGTATAGTTAGCAAAAAATTTTAGAGCAAGTTTGGATGCTCAGAATACAGGAAATGGCATTTCCGGACTGCAAATTTCAAAAATTTTCTGGGGCACCCCCCCTATTCATGCGTGGTATGTCGACCACACACACATGCCTTCAGCCATTGCTATGCGATTCTAGTATATTATTTCACAGAAAGGTCCCTTTACAAAAAATGCCCCACCCAACGGGAAAATGCTCAAAAAAGACCCGGACGACAACGTAAGCATGCAGCTTTATCGATTTCGGTGAAGAGCAGGTGAGTTCGTGAAAAGCTCACCTGCTCGGAACGAATCAGAAAGCCGCTTTTAACACAGGTATTGCATAATAAATAAAGTTTACATTACCTTGCACATATCATGGATAAGCATACACCTGTAATTCGCACATCGTCAACTTGTTAAGAAATGACTGTATCACCAAGTATTGTCCATGTATCGGTGGGGAACATGAGAATATCTTAGTCTGCCCTTCAGGTACAACAAGATTAGTTTCTCCACATCGAGGATTTGATCGCCCATGATCTTCCAAACTGTTGCCAATCTTTATTGCGAAATTGCCCAATCTATCACCACAACAATCACCTGATAATGGAATCATACGATTTTGTTACTTCAACTACTAAATATACTCTTCTAAAAACAACCATCAAATATTTTTTCGGTGTAATGCTTCAATTTATTGTAGTGCAAGTTTATGTACTAGTTAAAACATGAGCATCCGATCTTAATCTGATACACAAGATTGGATGCGAATGTTTCAACGTGCTTAAAAAGCGACCCATCTTATGAGTTCATTGGCGAAGTAATTTTAAAAATAAACATTGTCTAAGCCGAGAAAATCAAAGCTGAAGTTTATGTGAGTCAGGACAAATCTTTATCCGATTTACAAACATTGATTAAACATTCTGGTTATTGATTAAACATTCTGGAATATTGGCTATCATAGATTTCCCGTATGGTAAATTAGTAAAAACCACAATATTTAATATTTACCATTAATATTTACCATTTCCTGTGCAAAGGAAAATACCATTAATGCTAAATATTAAACAACATGGTTTTTACCAATTTACCATATGGGAAATCTATAATACCAATACCAATGATGTAAGAGTTTTTACATTGATAGTATATACATGGCAAATCTTTAAAAAACCATTCCGAAAACCATTAATGGAAATTTTTCCTGTGATATAGACTATGCAGTGGCGCCGCCAGCTCGATGATTGTGGGGGGGGGGGGCGAATATTCATATCTTCGTGTTCTGCATTATTAATTTCTTTTGAAATCGATTGTTTTCATGGTCTGTGCATGAACACGAATATATGAGTGAATATTCACCCCCCCCCCCAATTATCGAGCTGGCTGCGTCACTTAGACTATGCCTGTGGTTGTTCTATGATTTACAACCAAGACCCATCCCGGTGGAGATAAATATAATATTTAAATAGGTAGTATTAACCTCTGTTTGTAATTACCACTCTGGCTACTTGAATTTCCTCTTGAAAGTCCACACGCCACCACTGTTTTTCACTAGGACTCCCCGCCTCAAAGCATCCATTAGCACCCCATTTTGTGTTGCTATTTCCATCTACTGCACGGTAGCTCAAGTGTACATACTCCAACGAGGACGATGTAGCGGGCTTATTTAATGCATAATTCAAGTTGGGATCTGTATTTATAGAAATATGGTCTTCATCATGATGAAGGTTTTTTTCAGGCCGGTCCGTTGTATGCACAAAAGAGTTTAACTATACAGCAAGGAGTCTGGGGTCTGTTACACCCCGTCCCTCCCCCCCCTCAGATTCAAAATTTTAGCTTTTTACATGCCTTTGATTTGAATGGACCGGACTGCAATGACATGTGTATTCACGTTCTTGTTGATGGTTTTCCACATCGAAAATTCAACCCAAACAACTTCTAAATCAATTTTACTGCACTTTCCATGACATGATTGTGTTGAAAAACTCAATTCAAGATTGTGCTAGCTAGCTAAACCTATTCAACAATGACTAATTGAAGTTCTTTTTGAAAAGGTGAACGATAAATGCGGTTCAGAAAAGAGCAAACATTTTGAAGCGAAAAATTGCATTGCTGTTTTATTTCAATTGTGGCTTTTTTCGGGTCCCAAACCTCCTATGTAATTCTCGCTACTTTCTTGCCGTTGTTTTAAAATGTGAAGAGATCCACTACATATTTATATTCGATTCCTGTTATACAGCTATTTCAATTAAGGTTGTCCACGAGCAAAGCGGAAAGGTCGAATACGAGCGCGAAAGGCTGCTGGGAATCGCTTTGAAAATTCATTAATTTGTTAGCTATTCCCAGCAGCCTTTCGCGCTCGTATTCGACTTTTCCGCTTTGCTCGTGGACAACCTTAATTGAAATAGCTGTATATCACAGAAAGTAACCTGTGGTAAATCTCGTAGCACCGCCGGCTGCTCACTTGTTTTGAAATCCCTGGCTTACCGTAAATCCTTGTTTCGCAAGCTTTTCCTTCGTACTTTTCAAAACATTTACACGTCACATTTCTCCTGTCCGTGTTAACCACGCATGTGCCGTGGAGGCATGGCGAGGGAGAGCAAGGGTCCTGGGAAAGCATATAACTGATATGAGAAACATATTAAAAAACTAGAGGGCACTTGGAGATTGCATACCTCGGCCAGCCACAGTCTGTCAAGATATGATGGTCTGGAAGCCCGGCAAACTTCAAAACTACAAAATAGAAGAGCTTTGTTTGATGTTGAACTGTACCTCACCGTACACAAATCCTTTGTCTCAACTTCATTAAATATTATTCATCGTGGTTACACGTTTCATCTCAGCTATCCCTATTGGACGATTACTTCATTATACAAAAATACAATGAGCTCAATCACCGTGACCATGCATAAATTAACATAAACTCCGACAAAAACATAACACAATGACTTCTGTTTAGTTTCCAAACCATCATATCTTGATAGACAGTACGCCAGAAAATTAAGTTATGTATCATGCATAAATTACACAATGCGCTAAGCATTCAGTTTACTTTGCCTGGGAAAGCAAGACAAACTTTTGCCAATATTTAATCCAAATTTCATCTCTAGCCTATATCAAATTTATTCAGTCCTAGGACTTGATTAAACTTCGTCCAGTCGTAGGACTTGATCAAAGTTCATCTAGTCTTAGGACTTGATCAAAACTTCATCCAGTCCTAGAACTTGATCAAACTTCATTCAGTCTTAGAACTTGATCAAACTTCATCCAGTCTTAGGACTTGATCAAACTTCATCCAGTCCTAGAATTTGATCAAACTTCATCCAGTTCTAGGACTTGATCAAACTTCTTCCAGTCGTAGAACTTGATCAAACTTCATCCAGTCCTAAGACTTGATCAAATTTCATCCAGTCCTAGGACTTGATCAAAACTTCGTCCAGTCCTAGGACTTGATCAAAACTTCATCCAGTCCTAGAACTTGATAAAACTTCATCCAGTCCTAGGACTTGATCAAAACTTCATCCAGTCCTAGGACTTGATCAAAACTTCATCCAGTCCTAGCACTTGATCAAAACTTTGTCCAGTCCTAGGACTTGATCAAAACTTCGTCCAGTCCTAGGACTTGATCAAACTTCATCCAGTCCTGGGACTTGATCAAACTTCATCCAGTCCTAGGACTTGATCAAACTTCATCCAGTCCTAGGTCTTGATCAAAACTTCATCCAGTCCTAGGACTTGATCAAACTTCATCCAGTCCTAGGTCTTGATCAAAACT